TACAGGAAAAAACATTAGTCAACTCACATGGAGCTCAGTGAATGGAAACACTAATGGAAGTCCCTCAGGCCAAACGGAACCACACTGAGAAATAAGGGATAACTGTGGGGAAAATACAAGCTGTGACATATAGCAGGTGCAGATATATAGCGTCTGCAGAGGCTTTTTCGCTCGGTTTGTTATCATCTAGTGCAATCTGGAGGGCTTCTCTAAAAATACCAAAACCCATTTCAAATCGAAGTGAAAACAAACCTTAAAAGGGACGTCTCGAGGCGAGCCAAATCATCGCTATCAGACAGTTGGTTTAAACTGAGTGATTGGGAGCGTGTCTGTCGTCCCGTGTCTAGATAGTAATGAGTCAAGTCTGGAGCGCACAATTGGCCCAGCGTCGTCCGGGTTTGGCCGGGGTAGGCTGTCATTGTAAATAAGAATTTGTTCTTAACTGACTTGCCTAGATAAATAAAGGTACAAATTAAATAAAATGACACTCGCCTCCTCTGTACCGCTGTGCTAGTCAGGTGGAGAATGTGCCTGGCTCAATTAGGCGCGCACAAGGGCAAGGTGCTGTGGCTACGCTAACGGTTACACCGTTTCAGGGCATAGCCCGCATATTTTACCCCCACATCAAGCCCCAAGACTCCAACTGGCTCTCATATAACGTTGCCACCACATAACAGCAGTGCAATGCTAAACAGTCAGGTTTCAGGCTACTATTATTATTTTGTGGAAATTGACTGTCCTGGCTTCGTATGAGCCCTTATCAAACAGTGTCAAAACTGATCTGGAACAAGAGCTCAAGATAGATTTGTATTTTATTTTTTTCCTAAACCTTTTGTGATGCAAAACCCCTGTCATGTCAAGCCAATCTCAACAAAATGGCAGATTATAGGTAAATCTGATGTTTTTCTCCAAATCCACTCAAACACGCAAGGATCCACTAATACCTTTAACATTTGTTTTAGGGCTACAGCATACTCACTTTATTCATTTTGGTTTGACTTGATTTGGACAACAGATCTCACATTGTAAACATGTATGCCAACTCTTTGCTCCATTGGTTTGCTGTCATATCATAGATTACGCTGCAAAAACAACTCAAAGCAGAAAAGTGCTGCTCAAAATCTTGAATAATGATATGCAGCCCATAAGAATAGGATGAGGTGGAACGTTTTGTCATGAGGGAGCATCATTTCAAGAAACTGCACTTTTGCTTTGCTTTGTTGCTGACTATTCAGACAATTGTAAAGTGCTGAGAAAGATCAGGCTTTCACCATTATATTTAGAAAGATTTATGACACCACAGAAATGATTTATGTTTTCACAATGTTTACTACAGGGCTATTTGTCATCCTACCATTGTAGATCAAACATATACACTTCAACATGATTTGAACCGTCTTACTCTGCCATTAACACAGAAATGCCATCAAAACTAACCTCTGATGAGTATGTACTTCTAGGCCTTCAATAGAACGTATTGGCTTGGTTTTCAGAAGAGCTAAAAAGTACAGGAGTACAGGACGTCACCTGAAAATGAGTAATATGCTTTTATGTCAGATGCAACATCTGAGACATTAATCAAGAATTTACAGCAAACGTGTAAGCGTCAATTAAACTCAACTCACGTGACGCAATGCTGATAATCAATAGTCCAATGTATCTTATCTGACTAAATCTTAAGGTTGATCCTATATTAAAATATCCTCGATGCATTTATTTTTCCTGCTGCATTTTCCCCTTCAATCGCTTAATAAATGTAATGGCAAAAATGTTGATTTCCACCTAAATAGACATACCCAAAAGTAACTGCTTTTAATTGCACCATTGTATCATTGTAGCACTGCAGTAGTAGTATGCATGCTCTTAGGATAGGATTTGGCCAGGTCTACCTTGGTTGATGAAGTCATGTATTTCAAGGGACGACTGAGGTAAAACCATCAGGTTTCTGAAGATCAGCTCATTTTCCTGTGCTTTTTTAAATATACAGATATATAATATAAAAATCAATCAATTGTAATGTACTGCAGGTGCACATACCCTCTTTGATGTCCACACTCAAGATATTAAAATGTTAATTTCCTTGTAGTTCCAATTCTGCTTCCAATCTGTTAGATCTTTTTTTCAGTAGAGTGGTTGGCTGAGCTATTGGTACAAAAGAACCACTCCAAATTAATTGAGAAAAGATCTATCGGTTTGTGTTGTGGTTTAACATTATGGTTTGTTGTCACCATCATGTCCATACAGTATTGGATGACATTTTGCCCCAAGACAGACTTCCAATTGTCCAACAGAATCGTGCAACTGATCCATGTGGAAATTCTAAACATGTTTATACAGGTCCAAGAACAGACTGTGATGGAGGGAGCTTCATTAGAGTCATTATCATGTTATCTGTAGAACACCCGATATGGCATGTCTGTCCTTGAATATTAACAATTCCATCATCAAAATATGGAAAGGTTTACATTTCTAGTATTCTTTTGTTGTTGTATGTTTGCTGCCCTCGGCATAATATTTATTAAGGAAAACTTTGTTTATAATAAGCTGTATATTCAATAAAACAGTGTTTACACAATTTAGAATGAAGAGAAACTCAACTGCATCTTCATTGAAAGATTTACTCTCACTAATTTGAAAAACACCTTAATGTTCAGTAGACATTTATAACAAAAACATTCTGCATGTTTATAGTAGACATTTATAACAGAAACATTCGGCATGTTTATTGCCATCTGATTGAAATAAATTGGTGCATTTTCATACAGGCATATGGGATATGGGGAAATTTTTTCAAGCAACACGTCAAATAGTTTAGACTTTTGAGGGCCTCGCAGTCTCGTCTAATGGCCAATCCGTCATTGACAGATTCCTAAAGTAAATGCCCTGTGACCACTATATTAGCAAAAAGCAGATAATGGTTCCTATCACAGGCGCTGGGATGAATAATACATTTCACTAGGACTTGCTCATGCCTTGTCAGTCACAATGATAGATGGATTCAAGAGAGACTCATAATTACTGCTGTCAGTTGACATGGACTTCTGAATGTAAGATAACCTACTTGCCTATGCATGCGTCACATGTCTCTATCTACTTGAGTGACTGTCATTGGGTTTGGAGAACCCATCCACTGTCTGCGTTACCATGGAAACAATACTAACACTGGCAGTAGATTTTTAAAAATCTTTTCAAATATATTCAAATGAGCTCTCTTGCCCACATCTAGTAGATGAGCCCTGATCCCAAGGGATGGACCATGGATGTTTTGGAGGAAATCCCCCAACATTGCCATTACTGGTTTCTGATAAATACAGCATATCCGACCATTTCAGATTCACTTCAACCATCAGTGAAATAATCCATTATCTAGAAACATTGTGCACATTTCCATTTTCAGACATGTTTGGTCCCTGGCAGAAGATGGGAAAACATAACTTGTTCAATCCTGTTGTGATATACCTGCAATCTCATTTGAGACTAAGTGAAGATCATTTCAGCACCTTGGATAGGGCCAACTCCGACTAGTGGGGTTAAACTCAGTGGAGCATGTTCAGTCTCTGAAGCTCCTTTTCTTCTCATTCAAATAGCAAATGGAAAGCAGTCAGTGTTTATGTAATCGCCACCATATTTTCCATTTGCCAAAGCAATTTGGTGAGTGAAGTGTTTTCTTCAATTCACTAAGCCTGTATTTGTTTTAGATTTTTGCCTTGTGGTTCAATGTGCTCATGGTAAGGGATTCGTAATTGGGTTGTAAACAATATGTCTGAAAGATGTGTTGTAATTCGTCTAGTTCATAACATATCATTTTATTGAATCCCTTTAAAACAAAACCTCTCACCTTGGCAATATGCTGTACAAAATAACGGATGTATATCAGCCACTTGATGACATCATACACAGCTCATCATGCACCTCTGCAGATAGGCGTGACATTGTGCATTGCTTCAAAACAGAGCATCAAGGCATGTTAACCTCTGTTAGAAATGTAGTTATCCTGATCTCCAATCCAGGTCTTTGGGGAAGTAGGAAACGCATGAAAATGGCCAGCAGCTATTTCATCTTTACGCAACACTTTTATTAGATAAATGATTTTCAACAAAGAGGGACTGACAAAAACAGACTCTTCCATTGCTCAGTAATCAGCTTTTTCAGTCAATTCCATAAGTTATTGGGTGAGCAAGTTAACACTGCAGAAAAGGGCTTGGTCCTCAGCACACCATATCTATCTATCTAGAGTGATTGTAAGAAATCATCTTCACCGTTCTTAGCCCAGCACTGAGGGATTTTTACATAGAGCTGGTTTCCTGGACACTGATTAAGCCTGGTCCTGGACTGAAAAGTGTTATAACATGATATTATATTTTATTGTAGAATTCTTCTAAAAAAGTTGCAATAAATGTTGTTACTCACACATTGACCATGGACAACAACAGTAAACACACCAAAGGACATCCATGGTAGATACTGAATGGACATATTCCACTCTTTCCACTATCTGGATATACAAAACCCCTTAAACAATTCACATGTTGAACACATATAATTATCTCTCTCTGTAGATAATTGAATGATTTTAATGAAGTCTTTAGTGGTATACAGTATATCTATGTTTTCTTATTCGTTAACAACAGTCATCTACATTCACAACTATTTCAATCCATTCCGAAGAGAGGGGAGTGGGAATGACACTGAAGGTGTCCAAGAAAAGAAAATAGTCAAAATTCTTTACACATAGTCATAATGTTGGAAAGGTTTTTACTTTTGAGGCTTGTATGAGTAATCTCCAATGCAATCTAGAATTTAAGAGACAACATACCGGTAAAGGGGATATCCGCTGTGCTTCCCTTCACAAAAACAACAGTTGGTTGGCGATCCTTTTAACTTCATTTGAACTGTCAGACATTTTAGAAGGAATCATAGCACTTAAAACCAGCCAAAATGGAAGGAATCCAAATAAAGATGGCTACATGTGGAATGGGGATGGGGATAGAAAATGGCCCCTATAGACCGTACTTTTGGAGTAGTTCGGACTGCCACTGCCGCTTGCGCTCGGGGAACGCCTGTGGGATTTTGATGTTGTTAAAGTCCTGGATGCACTGCTTCATCTCTTCCTCTGCACTGGGTCTCTCCGTGTTCTTCTTCCTGCTCAGGCCGCCATCACGCCCCATCAGCGACTGGAAGAGCTCGCTGTTGCGTCGCTTATCTGGCAGCTGCATCCACTGCACTGACGAGCCCTTCTTGGAGGGCCGCCCCAGGGTGAGGGTGCTGGGCTGCCGGGAAACGGACTGGAGGGCTCCGCAGCGGGCCACGGATCCCCCGCCGCCTCCCCCACCCAGGTTGGGACCATCCTGGGGTGAGGTGGCCTCGGAGTGGGTCTCGGAGCTGGAGGTGGAGAGCTCGTTGAGGGACGTGCCGCTCTCGCTGCCCTTGTCAGTACCCAGTTTGTCTTGCTTGGGGGAGACGGTCTTCGATGCCGGCCCTGCCAAACAAACAGCAGAGAGACAAGGTCAGTCACATGTTGAGACAACTGGAGTGGGAGCACGTGTATGACATGCTGCCGTTTTCCCCTAATTTCTCCATGAGTGCCCACAGCTTTTTCACTTATTTGAACTATTACAACACAATACAGTACAATACAGTACAATACAGTACAAGCACACCTGATTCATCTTGTTGATTAGTTGACCAGTTCAATCAGTTGTGCTACAGCATTACTGGAATAGATCAAATAAGTGGAACAGCTGGGGCTAATCCATAATAGGTTAGGGAAACACTGTCAGAAAAGCAGCTATCCAAGGTCTTGACTATTTGGCACACATTCTATCTAGGCACATTCATATTTTCCATAGACTACTTAAATCAATGTATGCAAATAAATTCCAGAAAAAAAGATCTGAGTGAGAGACAAAAATAGTGAGAAACAGACATGATTGTACAATGTAGCTGCAAAGTGTCCCCCATAATACCTTGCTGCTATCTGAGAAACAGTCCTTTCTCCACACAGCAGTAATCATTTCACAACTTTAGTGGGCTTTTGTGCTGGCTATCTTAAATCTTCCAGTCTTGCACTGTGAGAAAATGAGAGAACGTGCCCATTCTTCCACTAATATTCTCATGTTACATAATTCACCCCCAAGGTAGCACAGTCAGAGTTGGAAACATGTTAGCCAGGCAACCTCTCTCTCTCTCTCTCTCTCTCTCTCTCTACACTACACTACACTACAGACCCAAGTCATTAACAAGAAGGGTTACAGTAAGAAGGCTAACATACTGACAGCATAAGATCCCTGTCAGTGGAGCACTATAAAGTGTACCCAAGTGTTAAGTCAGTATGTTAAATTAAGTTGAGTTGCCTTTGTGAGTGCTGAGAGCAGTGGGCCTTTGCTTCCTGGCTGTGACAAACAGCTTCCTCAGCAACTACAGCGAAAGCTTGAACCAGGAACTTTTGCAGTTACTCTATACTGCATGAATGAATTAATACATTTCGAAGAAGTCAACCATTGAGAAGGACCACTGCTTAAAAACCATTGAGGCATAGTACAGTATGTTACAAAATAATTGCCTACCCATACATAGTATGTTGAAATGTTTTTGACAAAAACATCAGTTGCAGAAAATAATAAATAGATAATGTCACTCAACATTTTAATTGTCGGCTGATTAAGCACTGTAATCCATCCAAACAAAAACATTTAAATACACGTTTGTAGAAAATTAATTAATTAATTTAATAACATTGTTTGTTGTTTATTTCTCCTAAATAATATCTGAGAGCTTCCCAGTTCTCTGGTGGGCCTGTCAATGAGATAAAACAATGCCTCTTATTGGTGATAAAATTGCAAGCTCCAGATCTGAGGGTACCAGGAGTCCATTAGACCTCATTAAGTACGCCCCACACTGGGTTCTAAATCAGCTCAGCGTGACCTAAGGTTAGCCGGCTAGCTGACTACACAGGCTGATCCTGGGGATTTAGGGGCTGGGAGCTAGACATGAGCCACTCATTAACACTGTTGACTATTGATTGCCAGTCGAGTTTAAACGAAGGTACCTACATACAGACTTTGTAACACTGTTATAAGACATCCATACATAGCCATACATACTTACTGCTTGTTAAAGTGTTATTGGCCCCCAATGTATAAATTCATAAAGCCTTTATAACAGTTTTATAAGACATACAAGATTTGCCTGTCAACTATAGCACCCATCATAACAAGCTTCATAACATATTTTGTCATAGTTCGTAATATTAATGCCTGCCTATGACATATATTATAATGTCTTATGTTGCTGTTATAAAGGCTTTATGAATGCATACATAGGGGGCCTACAAATCTCCGGTCCCACTTTCAATGACGTTCAACTTATAAAGGCTTCGTAAAGCCTTCATAAAGCCTTCCTAAGCACTACATAAATGTGTTGCAAAGCATCTATAACCGTATGTCATGCTTTATAAAGGGTTCATAAATGTAACAAAACCCACTGTTGAATATGATATAAACGTGCTTTATAAAGGGTGACATGTTGTGCTGAAGGATGGCATACGCTCTAAAGAGAAGTAATGTTAGTCACATGACACCTAATCTCGTTCCCAGACACTTCCGCCCAAATGTGCGGAAGGTCTGGTGGACCAACGCATCAAACTTGGCCTTCATTAGTTAGGGTTTGGTTTAAAATCAAATTTTAAGAATATAAATTGTTGAAAGTGGCAGAAATTAGCAATAATTATGACTTTTTCACTCTGTTAAGTAGTGACGATGACAAATACTTTACTCAGTAAGGTCACTCCTATAGAATTTTATGGTCACTCCCACTAAGGTCAACTTTGAATGGTTGATATCCAAGGCTTATATATGCTGTGTGTGCAATAGCCTGGGGACGACGTTACACCAAGAAACACTTACGTTGATGAAAGCCCCCAACCTAAAGAAATTGAAAGTGTCTTTCTTCTGGAACCAAGTTATATGTTCCTTAGTACACAAACATGCACACAACAAAAATGTGCCATACCTTGCGGTGCTGGACCCAGTCAGGTCTTTGACACAACAATATAACGAGCCATACTGTGAGGTGCTGGACCCCGTCAGGTCTTTGAAAACAATATAACAAACTATACCTTGCGGTGCTGGGCCAAGTCAGGTCTTTGACAACAATATAACAAGCCATACAGTGGGGTGCTGGGTGCAGTCAGGTCTTTGACAACAATATAACAAGCCATATCGTGGGGTCTTGGGCCCAGTCAGGTCTTAGACACATTCACCCACTCCCCCGCTGAAAGATCAGCCACAAAATGTTGGCCCCATTGTAAAAGGATGTAATAATGCCCTGGTTCCAGCATGGGAACCGAAGAGGAATACCTGGTGCGGTAGTCTCAGATTGGACCTCTCCAAATCATCTTGGCTCTGACACACACACACACACACACACACACAAGCTTTGCAGGTCCATCAACTCATCTAAATACCTCACACCCTACCTCAAAAGTGGTCCCCTGATGTGGTTTAAGCATTGAAAATCTAAATATGTTGTGTTTCTATTAAAAAATTGGGAAAAAACTGAATTAGGCAAAAAATGTATTCAGATTTTAAAGGGCCCTATCAATGTTTTTTGCTGTGCATGACTGCACTTTAGAATGTGTGTCATCCTGCAGCACAGCATTTTGGGGGAAGTTGAGGTCAGGTCCAATATTGACCATGCACTCAAAAGGGAAAGGGTTTAGAGTAATATAAAAATCTAATCAAATGTTATTTGTCACATGCGCTGAATACAACAGGTGTAGACCTTATAGTGAAATGCTTACTTACAAGCCCTTAACCAACAATGCAGTTTTAAGAAAAATAAGGAATCTAACCCACTATCCTGGTGTTGCAATGCTTTACCTTAGATGAATGACAAGGTAATAAATGCTTTGTGAAGCATCAATTTAATATGATTTATAAAGCCTTTATTAAGCAGTGGGATATGTCACATTTGACATTGGTGGTTATGTCACACAGTTATTCCACATTTATAAAACCTTAATAGAGCATGACATAAGGTTATAGATGCTTTGTAACACATTTATGTAGCGCTTATGAAGGCATTATGAAGGCTTTATGAAGCCTTTAAAAGCTGAACATCATTTAAAGCGGGACCAAATCTCCTAATGGTTACCAAAGTTTCATACTGTTGCGGCAGTTAGCGACTCCCACTAATTTAACACAGTGAAAGATGATTGACAGTAAGATGTGAGGGAGATGGATGGTTATCTTGCTGTAGCTTTCATTTTATAGGATGCTGTCAATCATGACAGTCTCTGAGATTGCCTATCAGAACGTAACATCAGGTGGGCAGGCCTCACTATTTCATCAACTGGATTCTTCTGCTGAAGCTGTCGCTATGGACAAACTAGGAGTTTATTAGGCAAATGTCATCAGAGCTGGGCTAAAAATCTATTCCATTTTCACTGCAGGAAAATAGCATTTTTACTGAGCCTCATATGTAGCAAATTAGCTTAATTGTGATCAATTAGAGCATGTTTATTAGGTGAAATAACTAATATTGACAGTGAAAGGGTGACATTTTGTAGCACAGGTATTTTGTGAAACCCACAGTGCAGGTTTGTTGAAGAATGATTTTGATTAAATACAACTCCTGGTTTTATAGCGTCAGAACAAGAGGCAGTATTTCAACAATGCCAATTATGTCTGTGTATGTCTGAAATATTAAACATACATTTCATCAACAGAGATAATGCTACTACACCCCGCTACCCACTGCACAACTAAACAAAAACAACACAACAATTATCTACATCCACAACAGCAGCGGTGGCTTGTGTTCAAATGTCAGCCAGCCTTGGGGTTTTGTGTGGGTCGCAGCATGCCCGTATTAGCAAACACATGAAGGCTGTGAATCAGTGATGTACCTCAAAGGCATCGTAATGCAAAGGCTTCCACTTTGGTTTACTATCTCACTAATAGGAACAGCAGCTCAGCTCCCAGGGACGCTACCCATCATGGAATCCTGAGTGATTACAATTCACAAAGACTGCCTCTGCCACAGAAACCCATTACATGTAGATCCTAGATTACTCATCCCACAATGTAGTTTCTTTGTGTGGAGAGAGACGTTTCTACCTCAAGAAAAACTGGGAATTACAGCTCTCTTTATCGCTGATGCACACGCTAATGCAGGGGCTTTTTCCAGAAAATAACTGTGGATTAAGTTTTATCACAAGCGCATACAGGTAACTGCCAAAATAAAGGGAACACCAACATAAAGTGTCTTAATAGGGTGTTAGGCCACCACGAGCTGCCAGAAAAGCGTCAATGAGCCTTGGCATAGATTCTACAAGTGGACTTAAACCATGCCAGGAAAATGCACCCCACACCATAACATATACTTGGTATCCCTCATTTATTCAAGTGTTTCCTTTATCTTGGCAGTCACCGGTATGCCTACAGTCGGGAAGGCCGCAATTTGGGCAGCATGCTAGCCAAATAAAGAACAGCTTGTTGTGTTGTGGCCGTAGAGATATAATCCATAGAAGGGTTTGTAACCTCTTACCCTGGCACTTTGACTATTAAACTCATGGGTACACTAGCAATGGATGCCAGTCTTGATTTGAATGGGAACTGCCATCTATGGATTATATTTCTATGGTTGGTTGCGGCTGCTGTTTTCTTTTTGCAAATTTCTAAATACAATCGCGTGAAAAACGTACAGTATAAAAAGCAAATGCTGCTGAATAGAGAATACTAATCTGTCTATATAACCAATGGAAACCATTTTGAGCGAACAGCAGCACTGTTTTTCAAAGTAGCTTATTTTGAGATAGGCTATTGCCATGATGAGCATATCGGTGCCTATGGCTTCATCTTCATCATTAGGTGAGTCAGTTTGCCACTGGAAAGTTTATTTAGTAGCCTACTCTATGTATATATATTTCCTCCTAATATTGTACAATCTGTGTGTCGCGTCATTGGCCTGGGCTATTGTTTGAATTCAAGACCAGAACGTTTTTATTGATCTCAGTTTGTCAGTGTCAGCGTAACCATTCATTTCGGTCATTTGTGTGCTATTAAAAAATATTCAGCTAATGTCTTCTGTCATGTAAATGACATAGAATTGCATGAAATGCGTTTATAAAAGACAAATAAAAAATCCCATATGTGGAAATCTTACAAACGCATCTGCTTAACTGTAGCCTATGCCACATCGCAAATCGCTTTCTCTCCTCTCACTGGTACCAATGGGAAAATAATACAACAGACTGCAGAGAGGGTCAGTCAATGTAGAACGGTCCCTGGGCCTTTAAAAAAGCAGAGAATGTTCTGTCCCACTGTCTCCCATCTGATTTGAAAATAGAGCATAAATAACTTACTCTCGATGCTTAGACAATTAAAGTCAAGCTAATAGAGGGGCCAGTAGAGTTAGAGAGCCAGTACATCAGAGGAGAAAATGTGACACCATTAGATGAATAGCATATCATACAAGGAGTAAGGCCCTCCTCTTGAGTTCTTCTCCTTCTTCCATCTTGTTCGAAAAAAGGCTTAGTCAGAAATGGCACCCTATTCCCTATGTGTAGCACATAGGGCCCCTGTCAAAAGTAGTCCACTATACAGGGAATAGGAAGCCATTTGGGTGACAGACCAAATTATCCCCTCAGAAAATGTGCCATCCTCGCTGTTCAGTAGGGACAGGTGAATAGTTCAGGTGAATAGAGAAATCAAGGTTTCCTACTGTACCTCACTAAGAGAAAGCCTCTCTCTATTACTGTACATCCAAGCAGTCATCAACTGGCTTTTGTGTGGGATGGTTCTTGAAGGATCTTGGCACCCACTCTGAAGCAGATAGTAGTCTATCTCGATAAGGCTTAGGGATGTTATTCAATCAAAACCGCATTACAGTATTAAATCAGGAACATAGAGTGTTAACATAGCTTCAAATAACTAAAATAAAATTGCAGAATGGTTTGGGGTACTGTAATTAATAGCAGGTAGACTACTCTACGGTAGATGCTTCCAGTTTTCTGAATAAGAGCAGTGTGTACATGGGCAGTAGTTGTAGTGTTAGTGGATAGCGGCTATGTTGATTCAAGTTTTTTTTAAGTGATTGTTTTACCTACTGGCTAATGTAGTTGAATGCACCTCTGGATAAGAGCATCTGCTAAATGACTGAAGTGTAAAATAAAATGTAGTGCGTGTTTTCAAAGATGCAGAGATATTTCTATAGCAGGTTGGATAAAATTCAGCCACAATAATAATATTTTGGGCCAACTGACAAGTTTTAGCTACCTCTGTAACACTTGATGTGTTTGCATTTGGCTTTCCTAACGCTGTCAATAAGGTAATGCAACACCTTGGTAAGGCTTGCATAACAAATTGTAAAACCTAATAACACTACCACAACCAATGAAAACAATTATTCAACTATTTATTTAGTCTTATGCTTTAGGGCAGAGGGTTATCTTAATAGGAGATGACAGCTGTCATGTCAATCAGAACACAGTGTTACAGCAATACGTACAAAACCACACCTAAAACAAAGTGTCCGAGATTCACATACAAGGACAAACTGGCGATCTACTATTGAACTGAGTCCAATCTCAACCCTCCCAATAAAGGGTCTTGTTCCCTATAACTCTCCCATATAACTCCCTGCTGAGTCTTCATGTTTCAGATCGATTCTCTGGGAGAGTTATTGTCAGGGCTGCACGATGATCATTGAGCCCTTGGGACAGTGGGGACAGGCTACTCAGGTGGGGTCAATCAGTATTGAAATAGGACAACTGATGCCACCGCCCTTCTCCGATGACATTGGGACACTAAGAATATAAAGGACCTAAAAAGAAAATGGCAGCCCAATTTGTCTTGTAACTTTGAGGAACAGCACTGACTCAGCTAATTATGGGCCAAAGGTAGATAAAAGGTGAAAGGTTAGATAATCACAGAAGTCTATGTGAAACTCTCAAGTACAATAAAAAACAAGTCAGCGATTCATAGTACAGATGTAGGATCTTAATTTGATCCCTTTTGTTACTGACAATTTTTCTCTACAGCAGGAAATGCAAACCTGGAGTGTATTCAAGGTTTAAAAAGGCTTCTAAAGTTTGTAATTTCCACTTTAAAATGTTATACTTGATTTGAATATAATGCATATAATGCTTGATTTGCATATAATGAAGGCATGATTCCTTGTTTAAGAATCACTTGACACTTTAAAAATCTTTCAGACCAGCCTCTACAAATGGACACCTCATCCAAAAATAGCCTCGGTGACAAGTGAGATATGCGAGAAAGCACACCAACGGCTAAGCAAGACATCTATTATCTAATCAAGTGTTGAACAAATCATTATATAAGTGCTCCCGATAACACTTCATTGAGTGCACATCAAAGAAATGGAGGCAAATTACAGTACTTGTAGATGTGTGCTAAGAATGAAAGGTGCAATTATGTTGAAAAGACAGTGGTGAATCTGAATAAGAAGGTAGGAAAGTTTAGCTGAATACTCTCAGAACAACAGTTGACCACACCTGACAGATGAGTTTTTATCTCAAGCAAATAGTGAACTGAAAAAGGAAAAGCAGATCATTTTAATGCAATTCCCTATTCAACACTGGCCAGCAGCATACCACCCTGCATCCTGGAAGCTGGAAGTAGTGTTGGAGGGCCAGTAGGAGGCACTCTTTCCTCTGGTCCCAAAAAAATATCACAATGACCCAGGGCAGTGATTGGGGACATTGCCCTGTGTAGGGTGCCATCTTTCAGATGGGATGTTAAACGGGTGTCCTGACTCTCTGTGGTCACTAAATATCCCATGGTACTTATTGTAAGAGTAGGGGTGTTAACCCCAGTGTCCTGGCTAAATTCCCAATCTGGCCCTCATACCATCATGGCCACCTAATCATCCCCAGCTTCCAATTGGCTTATTCATCCCCCCTCTTCTCCCATGTAACTATTTCCCAGATCGTTGCTGTAAATGAGAATGTGTTCTCAGTTCAACTAAGGGTAAAATATGGGTAAGAAAAACAACAACGTTGTATTTGACATTTGAGATGAAGCGCACAGTTTGAAAGAAATATGGTGGATAATATATCACAGTAATGACATTTAGGTAATGGTTGAAATAGCAGGATAAAAAACACAAATATAGAGATATAATGATGTTAAAGATGGTCAGAACGTTCAGTCCACCTTACTAATTAAATTAATAGAGGTGAGGGATCAGAATGGAGGGCAGAGGCCTCATCAAGTAAGATGTTAAAGATGAGACTGAAAAAGATGGAGCAGGTTTTGGCCTTTGTCAAGTGAGAGGGGACTAGAGAAAAGAAGGAGTTGAGTGTGATAGCAATCTATAATTGAAATGCAGGTCCTCCTATCTCTCAGCGGCTGAGTTGGGGAAAGAAACGAAGGATGAAGATTCTCAATGTAGCGGTGATGCCCATGGGGAAATGGCTTTAACCTAAACAGAGGAAGAGCAGGAGCATGACCAACCCTTAGGGCACAACATACAGGTTGTTTCTATACTTCAGCACTATAGACATTGTGTTGAATACATGTCTGTCAGTGGAGACTGGTGTATTGAGGAAGAGGAGGATAGTTATCCTCGTTTCTCCTCCTATGTGAATATTTGAATTTCACTTGCAGTACATTCTCAGCAATGAGTTTCCAGACAGGTAGGTGGCAGTTTACCTTTTAAGCACTATGGTCCAACATTTATGTTACACAGACTAAAGACTAAAGCCACCTGTAATCTGTAAATCAATGTGCACATGTACTCTGTAGTAGCAATTGCTATCAAAACAAGTAAAAATCCTGCTAGTAAACATCCAATTCCAATGAAAGCACTAAGCACTAATGTGTTCACGCACAGGCTCACAACCTGTGTTGTAGTGGAAGTCTGGGAGAGCAGATGGCCTCACAAGCTAGTATTTTCTCTGGGGGCATAACAATGTCCTAGAAATAATGCACATGGAAACGGTGTAAACATATTGTGTTCACTCATGCTTCCCTCTCCTAATCTTGCACATGGAACATTCCCATCTGTGTCCATTCTATGGTCAAGTAGAGTCCACAATGACTCTACCACTTGGTCATGACTACTTAAATTCCTGGTGTCTATCTGGACTTAAACAACAGTCAAAGTGGCTGCCGCCACCGCCATTATCTTTCAGGCGTGTTATCAGACAGCTTTTTGCCAAATAATGAGACTTAGGCCGATAAAGAGCACCGTAGTTGACTGGCATTTGCTTGATAAGAATCCCCAGCGCTTAAAGTTAGAATCTGGTATTTATTTTTTTCAGCAAAATGGCACCTCTGCCACTTGTTTTGGTATGTAGCTGAGGGATGTGGCCATTAAGCAGATTCCCAGTTACCAGACTGCTCCATTTAAGGCCTAAAGTTATGTTGTGAAAGGGATCGTTGTGTGGCTAGTAGAGATTGTGTTTAAAATTAACTGAAATGATGGAAATCAACAATATCACATCAAACATTCGAATACTTTGTGGAAATGTAAACACATTTTTGTTTACGCAGAGATCAAGGCATAATTGTAATACCTGTAGCAGCCCAGTATATGGATATGTCAAATTATGTCTCGCCTTCCTTTCCACACATTATCCATTCAGTTTACAGCTAACTTAAACCAACCAATGATCTCTGCCTCTTTCATTTTAATAAAAGCATTTGCTAATATTTAACTCTAAGGGAATTTGACAGCAGGAAAAACAAATGGTGTTGAAGAATCATTATACTCTCCTATTGTTCTCTCTCTCTCAATACCATGGTATAAACTCTCCTATTGTTCTCTCTCTCTCTCAATACCATGGTATAAACTCTCCTATTGTTCTCTCTCTCTCATACCATGGTAGAAAACTCTCCTATTGTTCTCTCTCTCTCATACCATGGTAGAAAACTATCCTATTGTTCTCTCTCTCTCAATACCATGGTATAAACTATCCTATTGTTCTCTCTCTCTCATACCATGGTAGAAAACTATCCTATTGTTCTCTCTCTCTCAATACCATGGTATAAACTCTCCTATTGTTCTCTCTCTCTCAATACCATGGTATAAACTCTCCTATTGTTCTCTCTCTCTCAATACCATGGTATAAACTCTCCTATTGTTCTCTCTCTCTCAATACCATGGTATAAACTCTCATATTGTTCTCTCTCTCAATACCATGGTATAAACTATTCTAATGTTCTCCCTCTCACTTTCAAGTACTGAAATTCTTTGTCTGGGTTGACAATTCCAAAGGACAAGAATAGCTAATCAAATGAGCAGTTGGGAATTGGGATTATTTGTTTTGCATGGAGAATCAACTACCTGTCTCAGAGCCTACCCCGAATGCTTATCTAAATGAATGAAAGGGATTGCAAGCCTTATTTAAATGACAAACCGCATGCCGCATAATGCAGGAAAAACACTGTAGGTTTGTTATCTACACAAGACGGCCATATAATCTCATTCAACGCTTGGGAGAACGCGTCATTCACTTCGCAATGTTGATGAGCGTGGGAAATGGAGTGAAGTTTAGGGAGTGAGCAAACGGAAGAGAAAGTCAACTTCTCACCCGGTGGCCTGCCCGCCCGCCACCTGACCTCAGACGAAATCCATAATTTGGACAGTCGTGCCGGGAGTCCCACCACATTTGTCACTTGTCCCAAGGTTGCATCTGTGGCATTTAAATGATTACCCTCTCAATCAATAATGGTTATGTTGAGGAATGTCGCGGAATAAAACAACCTTCTCTGTCATGCCTCTAGGTCGGTGTTTGTTGGCGTTTTGCTTGGCTTGGCAGAAAAATTGAGTATCAAAATGAAATCTGCATGCAAATCGTACTGTGTCACGACAGTTCTAGGATGCGCTCTGCAAAATGATAACCAACTCAGACCATATCTAAGTCTATAAGGCCTTACATTAACATTTTGGTTTTCCCATTGTCTTAAATCGACATAACAGTCCAAAATCACAGTTTGTCAGATGCTTTTAGACCCCCAAAGTAGTCTGTTGTCATGATGAACCCACGTCCCACACCATCATGATGAACCCATGTCCCACGACATCATGATGAACCCACGTCCCACGACATCATGATGAACCTACGTCCCACGTCATCATGATGAACCCACGTCCCACGACATCATGATGAACCTACGTCCCACGTCATCATGATGAACCCATGTCCCACGTCATCATGATGAACCCACGTCCCACACCATCATGATGAACCCACTTTCCATGCCATCAATAGTGTAGATGCAGCTATGCACCAAATAAAAATCTGGAGATATACGGTGCTTATCTTTTCCATTCACATGGGGATGGAGCATTTAGCTGAATCTACACAACAGATGGCCTGGAACGTGGAGTTACCTCAACATGTTTAAGGTCTGAAAACGTCTGACAAACGTTGATTTTGCTGCATCATTTCTCCTTTTAACTGACAAAGCATCTCTGATGTAAGGGATCTTCTTTTTTTTTTCTTGTTGGAACTTTGGCTAGCAGACTCTTCAGGACTATGAATCAAACATGATGAAGTAACAACAACTCTAACCACCCAAATTGTATTGAAAAGAAATGTGTTGAAGACATATCAATGACCAAATGTAAGACATTAATATAGCTGAAGGCCATACATTAACATTTTGGTTTTCCCATTGTCTTAAATCGACATAACAGTCCAAAATCAGTACACATTTGAGAACAGATTTGAGAAGATAACAGCTTCTGTATGAGCAAAACCTACAACCAGCAAAATGAGAGCTAGACTAGAAGGTTCTATCTGCAAAAAGATGATCCTAAGATAATTGGCTTTTAAGTTCCAAACCCTCATTTGTGTGATGGTGTCAGAAATGTTTATCTAGTATTCTTTTGAACTTAATAACATAAATTGGGGTATTTAGAGTACTACATAGGTAGAGAATATTGAACAGAACAAGGCAATGTCAATAACTAAATGTTGACAAAAATGCAGATAGAACCTTATAGTCCCAAGCTCTCGAAAAGCCTTTGGGTTTTATCTAAGAGTACAACATGTCAAGAATAAGTTTGCATTATGCCGGAGTATGGAACATGATTCAAAAGAAAAAGATATTGCACACTTCTTGCTTACAAAGCTTTACATATGTATTCTAGTTTATTGCCAACGTTTCTGTCTATTTACCTTCTTCAGACCAGAGACATTGGCAATCAATGTTTTTGGTCTGAGAAACAAATTGTGAAATTGCTAAACCATAACAGCATGTATAATGCATAAACACATGGTAAGGGGCAAGGTAAGGGGCATGGTAAGGTGCCAGGTGAGGGGCATGGTAAGGTGCCAGGTAAGGGGCATGGAAAGGGGCATGGTAAGGTGCCAGGTAAGGGGCATGGTAAGGGGCAAGGTAAGGGGCATGGTAAGGGGCATGGTAAGGGGCAAGGTAAGGTGCATGGTAAGGTGCCAGGTAAGGGGCATGGTAAGGTGCATGGTAAGGTGCCAGGTAAGGGGCATGGAAAGGTGCCAGGTAAGGGGCAAGGTAAGGGGCATGGTAAGGTGCATGGTAAGGTGCATGGTAAGGTGCCAGGTAAGGGGCATGGTAAGGTGCCAGGTAAGGGGCATGGTAAGGTGCATGGTAAGGTGCATGGTAAGGGGCATGGTAAGGGGCATGGTAAGGTGCCAGGTAAGGTGCATGGTAAGGTGCCAGGTAAGGGGCATGGTAAGGGGCATGGTAAGGTGCAAGGTAAGGTGCTGCAGTCTGGTTCAGGAATAAAAGTTACAAGTCTATAATGCCTGAGTTGGGATGATGACTCAGTGTTGGAAAAAGCTTTCTTATTGAATGCTTTCAAGTCTGGTAAATGCTAAACTTAATGGTTTAAGCAATGGAAAGCTTTTAAAGCGATACTGCGAGATTCTGGCAATTAAGCTTTTCTACTTACCCAGACTCAGGTGAACTCTTGGATACCATTTTTATGTCTCTGGGTGCAGTATGAAGGAAGTTAGAGGTAGTTACATGAGCCAATGCTAACTAGCGTTAGAAAATGGATGTCTACAGGTACGGTAGCGTAAGCTAGTGGCTTAGTTGCCAGAATCTCGCAGCATCCCTTTAACATGGTGAAATGGAGCTGTTTGACAACATGGTCAATGCTTCCTATTTTCATTGTACATTGAGTGTACAGCTCATTAGGAACACCTGCTCTTTCCACATAGACTGACCAGGTGAATGCTATGATCCCTTATTGATGTCACTTGTTAAATCCACTCTAATCAGTGTAGATGAAGGGGAGGCGACAGGTTAAAGAAGGATTTTTAAGCCTCGAGACAATTGAGACATGGATTGCGTGTGTGCCATTCAGAGGGTTTATGGGCAAGACAAAATATTTAAGTGCCATTGAACGGGGTATGGTAGCAGGTGCCCGGCACACAGGTTCGTGTCAAGAACTGCAACGCTGCTGGGTTTGTCACGCTCAACAGTTTCCAGTGTGTATCAAAAATGGTCCACCACCCAAAGGACATCCAGCCAACTTGACACAACTGTGGGAAACATTGGAGTCAACATGGACCAGCATCCCTGTAGAATGCTTTCAACACCTTGTAGAGTCCATGTCTCGACGAATTGAGGCTGTTCTGAGGGCAAAAGGGGGTGCAACTGAATATTCATGTTTTGTATACTCAGAGTATGTCTTATACAAGATTGTCTCTCTTGTATTTTTAGACTTATTCTTGCCATTAAATGTCAGGCTGGAAATGGACCAATCGCCACCTTTTCCATAAATGATCTATACAGAGCAAGGTTAGAGCTAATATATCCGTGTGGAATTGGATATTGCAGTATAGAATACATTTGAAAGCATAAATACTGTATATTCATAACGTGCAAACAAACAATGTGCCTGCACTTAAAAAAAAAGAAGTAAAAATTGATAATATAATATAAATGGTTCCTTTTTTATTATGTTATTGTTGTAATTTAATATACTTTAACATGTCATTATGGTACCTATAGGTCTATGTAGCATTTCCTTGTCATGAAAAGTGTTTCAAATCATCTTTAGAACACCAACAGAATGCAGTTAAAACACATGTTCAGGAGTTAGCTGATCTTTGTATTCAACAGGGGAAAAATCTGCTTTGTTATAAGCGGTGATGCTCCAACATTGCTCAGGAATAAAAGCTTGATCCCTTCATAAATATCAATACAATGCCCTGTTGCAGAGCGGCTAATGAATTATGCAAGACCCGAGCAGGATTACACAGGCGGATCAGCTTCAGCGGAAAGAAGAGAGAAGTGTGTACAGTAATGCCAACACGTCTACCTGGAGGAGGGAAAGTTGTTATGAAAATAACCCAATCAAAACAGTCAGACAGGCATTTGTCAGTGGCTGCTGTTGACCTCGAATTCCTTGGATGTCACCGCAACACTTCTGCTTCGTCAGCCCATCCATTACCCCCCTGCATATTCATGCCCTCTAGCACTTTCAAAAGTGTTATACAGTACCATGGTGCCTTGACAGGCAGGGGGGTAAGATATATGGATATGTCAGATATGTTGCCCCCCCACCAATGGAGTGTTCTCACATACATCTGTTATGTTGGCATCTGTGCTTCCCTCAAAATAAAACACCTCTCATGGAAGATTTTTAGACGATGCCTCTAAGCCCTCTCTGCCATACCTTGGCATGATAGGCTTGTGAAAAGTAGCTCTCTTTTTTATTGAATGTTAGCACTGGGTTGGACTCATTCCCCACTGGTCTATTTTAAAGTATTTTACTCCATAGAAAAAAATTGTGTTTTCTGTTGTAGATGTCATTGATCCTGTTCTGACTCCTTTGGTGAAAAGGTAGCCAACTAATGTCTTACTAGTGTATTGATAAAAATGAAATATTTTCTGTGCTTGTTCAACCCTCGTCTTAGAATGAACAGACAATATCAAGCCTCCCCTCTCCCCTGACAAGACTCCCCTCTCCCTGTCAAAGCCTTCACGTCCAAAGGGACCCAGCCCCGAGTTCTTCGTTACCAGCAGGGACATGTGACCGGGAGAGTGAAAAAGGGTGACAAGTCAGGGAGCAAAATGTCTGAAACCATATACGGTCAATATATAGACTGGCTGTTTTGTCTTCATTAACCCCTTTTTAGGCCCCTGACGTCTGTGCAGGCATACAATGATGCAGACTCAAAGACACACACACTGGCACACACCACTCTTTCTCATTATTTATTTGTACTGATTAGACTGTTCCAATCTGTTTCGATTTGCCTGTTCCTTTGCACTGTCTTGGTTGTTTCCCCGCCATTTCATTCCCTATTCCCCAGACACACCTCACACCTCACCCCCAGACACACTCCACCAAAACCCCATCTACAGTGCATTTCGGAGTATTCAGACCCCTTGACTTTTTCCACATTTTGTTACGTTACAGCCTTATTCTAAAATTGATTAAATTATTTATTTATTTTTCAATCTACACACAATACCCCATAATGACAAAGCGAAAACAGGTTTTTATAATTTTTTGCAAATGTCTTAAAAATAGAAAACAAAAACACCTTATTTACATAAGTATTCAGACTGGATTGTGTCGAGGCACAGATCTGGGGGAGGGTACCAAAAAATGTCTGCAGCATTGAAGGTCCCCAAGAACACAGTGGCCTCCATCATTATCAAATGGAAGAAGTTTGGAACCACCAAGACTCTTCCTAGAGCTGGCCGTCCGGCCAAACTGAGCAATCGGGAGAGAAGGGCCTTAGTCAGGGAGGTGACCAAGAACCCGATGGTCACTCTGACAGAGCTCCAGAGTTCCTCTGTGGAGATGGGAGAACCTTCCAGAAGGACAACAATCTCTGCAGCACTCCACCAATCAGGCCTTTATGGTTGAGTGGCCAGATGGAAGCCACTCCTCAGTGAAAGGCACATAACAGCCCGCTTGGAGTTTGCCAAAAGGCACCTAAAGGACTCAGGATTCTCTGGTCTGATGAAACCAAGATTTAACTCTTTGGCCTGAATGCCAAGTGTCATGTCTGCAGGAAACCTGTCACCATCCCTACGGTGAAGCATGGTGGTGGCAGCATCATGCTGTGGGGATTATTTTCAGCGGCAGGGACTGGGAGACTAGTCAGGATCGAGGGAAAGATGAACGGAGCAAAGTACAGAGAGATCCTTGATGAAAACCTACTCCAGAGCGCTCAGGACCTCAGACTAGGGCGAAGGTTCACTTTCCAACAGGACAACGACCCTAAGCACACAGCAATGACAACGCAGGAGTGACTTCCGGACAAGTCTCTGAATGTCCTTGAGTGGCCCAGCCAGAGCCCGGACTTGAACCTGATCGAACATCTCTGGAGAGACCTGAAACAGCTGTGCAGCGACGCTCCCCATCCAACCTGACCGAGCTTGAGAGGATCTGCAGAAAAGAATGGGAGAAACTCCCCAAATACAGGTGTGCCAAGCTTGTAACATCATACCCAAGAAGACTTGATGCTGTAATTTTGCTTGGTCATTATGGGGTATTGATGAGGGGGGAAAACAATTTAATCAAATTTAGAATAAGGCTGTAACGTGATAAAATGTGGAAAAAGTCAAGGGGTCTGAATACTTTCCGAATGCACTGTATCTACAGCCCTCAGGAAGTTTTCGATCCTTCAATCATTCTTCTTACAATAAAACTGTGTGTTAATCTCACACACCTTTCCCTTTAATCTCTTCTCTCTTTTACCAACCTGCTGTGATTTGGAAAACATTTCCAACTGATGAGAGGAACAGGGAGGGTGGGCAGTCCCACATTCTTTACGTAATTTATTAGCTATATTGAAGAGATAGAACAGTGTTGGAAAGACGGTGAAGATAGGGGGAGGGTGAGTCAAAGGGCAGTGGGCCGGATTCAAACCCATGCCGACTCTAGCATACATTTTAGCTGGGATCAGTGGACGTAATCGCTGGACCACACAGGAAAGGGTATTCTCAAGGAAAGTGAAGAAGCTGGTATTGGAATTACTTTGAACCACAGAGAGAAAAGGCTATTATTTACCTTCAATATCCTATACAATCCAAGTCAGAATAGGTAGGCAATTCGTGCAATCTTTTCACTTGTGAAGAGAAATTTGACACAATACTTCTAAAACCTGACAAAACATGTTGGACCCACCTTTCCAATATGTATGTTAGTTAGGGTGAGAAGTCACTTACTGAAGAAGATGTACTCCGTATAGCTGCTCCAGATTTTGTCGTTCCTGTACTGGTTGACAAAAGCGGCTGTTCCCGTGGAGTTACACGCCACCATTGTAAAGCCCACCTCAGAAAGCTGGTCAAATGCCTGCTCCAGGTAGGTGAACTTGAGGTAAAACCGTGAAGTGTACTTCTCCGGCGGCCTGTCGGGGTCCCGGCTCTCGTTCAGTGTTTCCCCAAACACCTCTTTGGCCAGGGCGATGCGTCCACACACCATGATCCGAGCCACGCGTCGGAACTTGGCGTCGGCTTGGTTGTCCCGCATTGTGGTGTAGGAGCCCCTGTAGCCGATGGTGATGAACCCTGACCTCTTGTCTGAGGAAGTCGAGTTACAACCTGTGGGGTACTCGCTGCTTTGCGAGCTCTCCTCGATGTCGCTGTGGCAGCCCTCATCGTTCATGGAGCCCTGCTTGGAACCTACCCGGGGCCCCAGGAGGCGCAGCAGCTCGCCCAGCTTGAAGTGCTCAGCCTCCCGTTGCAGACGCTCACGCTCTGGAAAGTGGTCGGGCAGCACCAGCTGGCGGTCTCGCAGGAAGTCCAGCACGTAGCGGAACAGGAAGCCATCGCGGTCGATGAAGAATCGACCTCGGCTGTCCCTCGGCAGCTCCCATGGTGGGCACCGGGCGAACATGGCGTGCAGGGTGGTGTCGGGCACGCTGACCAGAGTGGAGCGCTTGGTGACGTACACCTGGCCACCCACATTGAGCTCCACCACCTCTGGGGTCAGGGTCGGGGCGGACACCTCGCTGATGGGCAGAATGGTCTCCTTCATGGCCATGGTCCCGTAGTTCCACCAGGTTATAGAGAGAAATCAAACACCTCCCCTTCCAAACTCAATAAGGTCCTCTCAAACAAGTGGAGCAAAAAGCTCAGTGAGGAGCGAGAGAAGAAAAAGGTCCAATAGAATCAATAGTGGTCACCAAGGAGTTCACAGCATAGCCGGTGCTGAAGTTTGAAAGAGGCAGAGGACTACATCCCTGCTGTTAGAGGAAGCTGAGGAGGAAGAGAGAGAGAGAAAGAGAGAAAAGATGGAGAGACAGAGTATCAGTTCCCCCAGCCACTGTCACCTCACTAATGGAGAGAGCAAATGCCAGGAGAGAGCGATAGAGGAGGAGAAGAAAATCACTGAGCAACTCCCAGCATCATTTGTCCAGAGTCTGGGGGAAACCATGATGACATCATCCTCTGAGTGAAAGGGGAGGAGCTGCAGTTACAGCCTTTTAAAGAGGCAGTATAAAAAATATTGATACAATACAATATCACCCAACTTCATCTACCCTTAATGTCTGAAGATGATCTGGAAACAAAAATTAAATAAAAAACATTATAAACAGATACAAACATTCAGACATTAACAAATCCCAGCATTTTTGAATGTTGATTCCAAAATATTGTCAATGCAAAATTGACATATGTTTACATATTTCACATACTTTAAAGTGTTTTTTAAACAAAGGACCCAATGTATTAAACAACCCTATCTCCTACACGATATGTATTTTTGGTTGATTGGAAATGCACCAATACTGTAGTAGTGGAAAATATCCAACGAACGTTTCATATTTCAACAGCGCCATCTCTTGGAATGCTGAAAAACATTTAAAAGAAGCCCATGATCTTAACATTTTTTATATCTAATAACTTCAAACATGATTATGAGGTCTTGTTTTGGCCTTACAAATAACATGAATATTTTGAAATGTAGAAATGTTTAGCAAAATCGGCATCATTGATATTGTTGAGGAGACGATCTGAATATGAAGAGTAGACAACAGGGGTGTGTATTCATTACGTCTTGCAACAGAAACTGAATCAGCGTAATGAATACACCCCAGTAGACCCAAAATAAATGATGAGGTGTAGGCCTATATAAACACACTAATCACAACAACAAAAATCCTGTAGCTTTGTGATGATATTTGTGTATTTATGTACATGTCTATTCAAAGATAATCCAATTGTCCCCCAAGCATTTACTGATCCAACTAATTAGCTCAATCAAACATATTCCCAAAACTTTTCTGACTATATCATTCTATCTGACATCCCTGAAGCAGAAAGATACCACGGTTCTGCACAGATGCTCACAGGTCATTGAACATAATGACACCTTACAAGGCTACGCCATTAATCAATGTCAGGTTACCAGCAGCCTCGTCTCAAAGGTACATCACCACTGGGAACAGCCAACAACTAACAGCAAACACCTTGCCTTTCCAATCTCCACAGGCCTCTTGATGGAATGAGCTGCCAAGGTCATTAAACCTTTTCAATATCCTCATGCGATCAGTAAACTTTCCCCAATCTATTTGGACGTAGAGCATCCTTTAATGTGCTTACCGCTGGAGATGGTCCAATGCAGCCGTTTTTATCTCAATATTAAATCATTTCTGGGTAACATTATACAGTACATTATAGTCATTTAGCAGACGCTCTTATCCAGAGCGACTTACAGTTAGTGAATAATTTTTTTTTTTTATACTGGCCCCCTGTGGGAAACGAACCCACAACCCTGGCGTTGCAAACGCCATGCTCTATCAACTGAGCTACATCCCTGCCGGCCATTCCCTCCCCTGGACCAATTGTGCGCCGCCCATGAGTCTCCCGGTCGCTGCCGGCTGCGACAGAGCCTGGATTCGAACCAGGATCTCTAGTGGCACAGTTAGCACTGCGATGCAGTGCCTTAGACCACTGCGCCACTCAGGAGTACAATTAAGTAACAATTAATTACCTTACTGTGATAGTTTCTTTTTGACCATTTTAATTTAAAACAAAGATAGCTTCTTAGCAAAGAGCAATTTCTCAAACAATAATTTAGCTAGGACTGCTGGGAGTGGTTTGATTGGGGATGGGAAAACAAAAGATGTGCTGTTATTGGTAGAGAGCAGGGGTTGGAACCAAAATAATTTCCAATCGTTTCGTTCTCAAAAGAACCATTATTTTTTGGGTTCCGTTCCATTGTTCTGACCTGCAAAATAAAGTTCTGAACCGACTCTAACCCAAAAAAGTACTGGTTTATTTTCTATTCCTTTTGAATTCAATAAAACAATTTTTTTAGCTCTACATTCAATTACTTCACCTAACAGCGTGGATAAAGCAGCTTGCTATGGAGCGGGCAAGCTATAGTTTACATGCGCGATGGACAGACAAAAGTAGGGCACAAGCTGTGACTGAAATTTTGCGCGTGGGGAGAGAGTGAGAGAGGGTGGTGGAGGAGGCTTGGCTTAAAGCCCTGGGCATCTTGTCATGACATGCATTATCTGAATTGGCCACTCTACTGAGGAGTGGCTTCCGTCTGGCCACTCTACCGTAAAGGCCTGATTGGTGGAGTGCTGCAGAGATGGTTGTCCTTCTGGAAGGTTCTCCCATCTCCACAGAGGAACTCTAGAGCTCTGTCAGAGTGACCATCGGGTTCTTGGTCACCTCCCTGACCAAGGCCCTTCTCCCCTGATTGCTCAGTTTGGCCGGGCGGTCTGCTCTAGGAAAAGTCTTGGTGGTTCCAAACTTCTTCCATTTAAGAATGATGGAGGTCACTGTCTTCTTGGGGACATTCAATGCTGCAGACATTTTTTGGTACCCTTCCCCAGATCTGTGCCTAGACACAATCCTGTCTCGGGGGTCTACGGACAATGCCTTCGACCTCATGGCTTGGTTTTTGCTCTGACATGCACTGTCAACTATGGGACCTTATATAGACAGGTGTGTGCCGTTCCAAATCATTTCCAATCAATTGAATTTACCACAGGTGGACTCCAATCAAGTTGTAGAAGCATCTCAAGGATGATCAATGGAAACAGGATGCACCTGAGCTCAACTTCAAGTCTCATAGCAAAGGGTTTGAACACTTACAGTACAAGTCAACATTTTGGACACACCTACTCATTCAAGGGTTTTTCTTTATTTTTTAGTATTTTCTACATTGTAGAATAATAGTGAAGGCATCGAAACTATGAAATAACACATATGGAATCATGTAGCAACCAAAAAAGTGTTAAACAATCAAAATATATTTTATATTTGAGATTCTTCAAATAGCAACCCTTTGCCTTGATGACAGCTTTGCACACTCTTGGCATTCTCTCAACCAGCTTCACCTGGAATGCTTTTCCAACAGTCTTGAAGGAGTTCCTACATATGCTGAGCACTTGTTGGCTGCTTTTCCTTCACTCTGCCGTCCGACTCATCCCAAACCATCTCAATTGGGTTGAGGTTGTGGGATTGAGAGGCCAGGTCATCTGATGCAGCACTCCATCACTCTCCTTCTTGGTAAAACAGCTCTTACACAGCCTGGAGGTGTGTTGGGTCATTGTCCTGTTGAAAAACAAATGATAGTCCCACTAAGCCCAAACGAGATGGGATGGCGTATCGCTGCAGAATGCTGTGGTAGCCATGCTGGTTAAGTGTGCCTTGAATTCTAAATAAATCACAGACAGCATCACCAGCAAAGCACCCCCACACCATAACACCTCCATGCTTTACGGTGGGAACAACACATATGGAGATCTTCCGTTCACCCACACCGCGTCTCCCAAAGACAAGGCGGTTGGAACCAAAAATCTCAAATTTGGACTCCAGACCAAAGGACACATTTCCACCGGTCTAATGTCCATTGCTCGTGTTTCTTGGCCCAAGCATGTCTTTTCTTATTATTTGTGTCCTTTAGTAGTGGTTTCTTTGCAGCAATTGACCATGAAGGCCTGATTCACACAGTCCCCTCTGAACAGTTGATGTTGAGATGTGTCTGTTACTTGAACTCTTTTAAGCATTTTTTGGGCTGCAATTTCTGAGGCTGGTAACTCTAATGAACTAATGCAGCAGAGGTAACTCTGGGTCTTCAATTCCTGTGGCGGTCCTCATGAGAGCCAGTTTCATCATAGCTCTTGAAGGTTTTTGCGACTGCACTTGAAGAAAATTGCAAAGTTCTTGAAATGTTCTGGATTGACTGACCTTCATGTCTTAAAGTAATGATGGACTGTCGTTTCTCTTTGCTTATTTGAGCTGTTCTTGCCATAATATGGACTTGGTCTTTTACAGTGGCTTGCGAAAGTATTCACCCCCCTTGGCATTTTTCCTATTTTGTTGCCTTACAACCTGGAATTAAAATGGATTTTGGGGGGTTTGTATCATTTGATTTACACAACATGCCTACCACTTTGAAGATGCAAAATATTTTTGGGGTGAAACAAACAAGAAATAAGACAAAAAAACAGAAACCTTGAGCGTTCATAACTATTCACCCCCCCCCCTAAAGTCAATACTTTGTAGAGCCACCTTTTGCCGCAATTACAGCTGCTAGTCTCTTGGGGTATGTCTCTATAAGCTTAGCACATCTAGCCACTGGGATTTATGCCCATTCTTCAAGGCAAAACTGCTCCAGCCCTCTCAAGTTGGATGGGTTCCGCTGGTGTACAGCAATCTTTAAGTCATACCACAGATTCTCAATTGGATTGAGGTCTGGGCTTTGACTAGGCCATTCCAAGACATTTAAATGTTTCCCCTTAAACCACTCGAGCTTTGCTTTAGCAGTATGCTTATGGTCATTGTCCTGCTGGAAGGTGAACCTCCGTCCCAGTCTCAAATCTCTGGAAGACTGAAACAAGTTTCCCTCTAGAATTTCCCTGTATTTAGAGCCATCCATCATTCCTTCAATTCTGACCAGTTTCCCAGTCCCTGTCGATGAAAAACATCCCTTATGATTTTATTAGCATATTTTAAATTGTTGGTGTTGAGCTAGGGTATGGCGACTGCCGTACCCTGCCATTCCTAATTGACGCCCCT